CCCCCCCCCCCCCCCCCCACACACACACATTTCGGGGGTAGTCCAGGAAACGAGTGTGTCGCGGGACTGTTACCGTGGTCGTGGTAGACTAGGTAGACCGATCGGTATACTAGCTCGTTGAGACGGAAGCCCCAGCCCTCTCAGTCCGGGGTCGAAAGGTGTGGAGAGGGGGGAGGGGTAGGAGCTACTAGGAGGCTGCAACGCCCCTGCACATGGTGACGGCTGAGCTGAGCACGCGTCATTCCGCGCATACTTTGACTCAACCCAAACTAAACAGGCTCATCGGGTTTCAACGCGGGGCCTCCGCAGCGAACAAGCCGCTCTCCTCGCCGAGGCAGACGACGTGTCACCACGCAGCCTTCGGGGGTGGGGGAGAGTATCGCACCTCGCGCTGTATCTTCGCCCGTCACGGCACAGCCCGGCCGTGGCCAAACTAATAGGTGCCCATTACTTTCCTACGGTTAGTTCACACCTCTCAAGGAAATGCAACAACTTTGAAAAAAATCAAAAATAAAATGAAAGAAAGAGGGAGAAATAAAAAGAACAAGAGGGGAAGTATGCTATGGGTGACTACCTAACCCAATCATTCACGTTGACGCGACATGCCGGCCCCTAACGTCGAGGAGACGTTTAGAAAAACAGTCGTGGAGGAGAGCACGAGGAGAAGGCGTCAACGAACGGCTCAGGACCGTAACGAATGCCTGAATGAAACAAACACTCGATGATGCTCCATAACGCCAGGCGCCTGCGAGGTACGCAACCGCGCGGCTCGCGCGTCCGACGGGACAGCATCGCGCAGGCGGACAGACGCTGACCGGAGATGATCACGAGTGCAGCAGGCAGCGGGGGACGACTCACCTGCAGCTGACTGTTGTACGACGCGCAGCTGCCGCTGGTACAGCCTCTTTTGCGCCTGCAGGGCCTGCAGCGCCTGCAGCTGGCTGGCCGGCGGCGGCCGGGGGTTGGGGCAGCCGCCGTGGCCAGGATGGTGGGCGCCCGATTGTTGGTGCGTCTGTTGCCTACATGGGGCACGATTTGCACATGAGAAAGGTCCGCTTCAAGGTAGAAAACAAACCATGGGCGACCAAGGCGGAGCACTCGGACAACGCTCACCTGCGCAGCGCGACCTGCGCCGCCATGACGCGCTGCCTCTCCACGACGAGCAGGCAGGCGGCGCAGCGGCACTCCTTCCAGCGGCAGAGCTTCTTGTGGCCCTTGAGGCAGGAGATGACGCCGTGGTTGCGACACCGGGCGCACTTGGGCGTGCGCAACAGGCGCCGTCTGCGCAGCGGGGACGGAAGCGTGCGGTTGAGCGACAGGCAGGGTCATGACGTACTTCAGGACCATGAGGGACAACCCCCAGCCTTACCTGGCGGACGTCAAGTCCGGCGCCATGCTACCCGCTGCTGGCGCTTGCGGCGGGGGGCGGCGCGGCGGGCTGTCCAGGGCGACGCCTCGGCAAGTGCGCGGGCTCCGAGGCCACGGGCGCGGGCACGGCCCTGTCCTGCAGACGCACACGGCCGACCGTCGAGGAACCACTACTCCTGCTCCACCACGTACGCTACCTCACAACACTCTCGACGTCAAAATAGAAGTGAATTGTGTTTCAGTCTGGCACCTTCTTCTCCCGGGAGCATCCCCTCTCCGTCTGACAGCCCTGCTGCCTGCTGATTGGGCGCCCCTGCCTCTGCCCGGCCGGGGGCAGCCGGGGGCGGAGAGCAGGGCGGCGTCCGTCCGACCAGGGCCCCCTTTACCCGAGCGGCTGGGCTCGAAGCGCCAAGCCAAACTCATTTGAA